ACGAGATACACACGTGATAGGGTCACGTTTCGCGGGACGAGATACACACGTGATAGGGTCACGTTTCGCGGCACGAGATACACGCGTTTAGAGAGTCAGTCACTCTCGAAGTGTTTCCCCAGCTGGGTGAGGTTTGCTTTGACAAAAACAATATGAAAGAATATAGATAATAATCATACCCCTAAAACAAAACGAAATAAGACAATTCTTTCCGAACAGAAGAAACAGTGGGCTTAGAATGTTCCAAAGTCATCACCGTGAGTTTTTTATATGCATGTCAAACTGTAGCGGGACTTTCTCTTAAAGCACCGCTTTCTCGCCCATGACGCTTTGAAATCTCAAATCACTAGTAATTCGCAGCTGTGCGTAACTTCCGTTGCTCCCTAATTAGGATAAATAAAAGGGTCATGAAAGGTTGTAACATCACTTCATTCAGATTTTCACAAGAGTTAAGCTCCACGTCCCTACATCAACATCCTCCAAGTTATCCTATGGAATGAAATTCTACCCAGCCCCAAGAAGCAGCCCAGGTTGTATCCAAGCTAGAAGGTGCTGAAAACCACTTCAACCAGCGGCGAAGAGTACTGCATTATCTTAATATTTTATTCTCATTTGGCAATAGGCAATTAGCAGGAGAGGGTATCTCCGCATACCAAACCTCAAATTTTGTAAACCAAAGCTTTAACTACATACTAACATTTGGAATTGGAAATAGGAGATCATACACTGGAGAGACCACCGCCTTCGAGGGAGCAGCCCAAATGGAATCGTACGAGCAGAATAGAGGAGGAAATTCAACGGGAGACAAGCAGTTTGAGACTGCGAAGAGAAAAGATTCATTCCCTCATGAATCAAGGAATCGAAAACAAGGAAAAGAGGATGTCAGAACGCAGAAAAGAATAAGGAACACATGCGCGAAAAGGGCGAGAAAGGCGAGAAAAGCCAGGGAACTGCACACTCAGCTGAAGGCAGCCCATCTTGAGAGAGAAAATATCAAAATACTTGCATACCTTTCGATTGTGCGTAATGAAAACGTTTTTCTGAAACAAATTTTATTCGCAAGAATGCCTCGGTAGTAAACATTTACTTGTGTCAATATGGCACAGATGAACATCAGTGAAGTATTAGGCTGCGCCTTAAGTGTCACTGTTTTTGTTCTTACCACATTTCACGTCGTCTTTGATCGATTCATGAACACACGCCCGGTAACATAAAATCTATTTGTTAAGTTTCCTCGTATTTTCATCGTTGACTTTCAAAATTGTTCAGACCCTATAGTATTTTGATCTTGATTGTAAACAAGGCGAAAAGGAAACAACTCTCCTGGACCAGTTTCTGACAAGTGTCCATTGCAGTTGTCCATGACGATGTCGCGTAACGCTCCCCACTTAAGGAAGTCACGCAATGCTCTTCCTCCCCCACCCCCCTTGAGGATGTCACGCAACACTCCTCGCCTTTAAACCCTGACATCGTTATGGAAGTTCTCCAAACTCCTCTCTATACATTTTCTTTGGTACTGACAAGAAAAATTCCTTTAACAATCAAAGCGTCTTAGGCTGGCGACCATTTCCTCTATTCTTATGATCTTAATGAATGATTCAACCGTGTAACTGTAAGGTGAAATTAAATGCTGGTCACTCTTAGGATTTTAAGTGTTAATAGCTATGAGCACGATAAAATTAATTTATCATTAAACTTATCATCTCAACATTTTGTACCGTTGTTTATTACATAGCTCGCAGCACCCGAGGTCGAGAAGAAGCGAATCCTGTGTTCTGATTGGCTACCCGAGCGGACAAGATGGGCCCATCTTGCCCACTAGGTCTTGCCCGCATTGATCCCGCGCATGAAAAAAATAGAATAAGAACTACGTTCGTGATTTTTGGACAATTTCGGCGATGGAAACGCAAAAAGCGGCAGAAGATTGTCAAAAAAAAAAGAAAATACAAAGAAATCTCGTGAGTTTGATGTGCTACAAACGCAGTTGCCTTTCTTTCCCAGCTCTCGAAGTAAACAACTCATTCTTAATTCTTAATAAAGCGAAATCTTTTTGCAATATAATAAATCCTTTATTAACCAAGCTTGCTCGTCAAGATGGTTGGATATTAGTCTCGTTCTTCTTTCGCATTTTTAAGGACCGAGACGAAGTCAAGAAAAAAAAAAAAAACTCGGCCAATATCCAGCCATCTTGACCTCACGCTTGGTTAATAACGCATATGTATTTAACATCAAAGGCAAGGAGTTCTTTCTTTTACTTTCCAAGCGAGTATTGATTCTTGTTCGATTATAAATTCCTGACGTGAAAATTGAGGATGTTAAAAAACGCACATTGTTAACTACTGTATGCTGAGTGGAAAAAAGAAAATGTTGCGAAAGGGAAACCATTTTGGCAAATACGTCGTTAAAGCGAACGAACATGTAGCGTTAATTCGATGGCTACCAACATGGTCACATGACCATAACGTGTTGAAGATCCATCGTGTCACTAAGCAACCTCCTTGACGGGCATCTTGGGCTAAGGGCCAGCCTGTGATGAAAATCTTATCACCTCGCAGTTTACCCCGCTGATGTAGAGTGGGTGTCCTGTGCCACCGTGCTCGATTAAGGGTTTCATTTTTGTTGGAGTTTACTACAGGTACACCAGTGTCATTTTAGGTCCGGTATCTGATGAAATGAATTAAATCACAAAATTGGAAAAAAGGATTGACAAATCTTAAACAATCAATGAGTCTCGAGGTTTCTTCATACGAGGATTGTACGAAGAAAGAATATTGATAGTGTTGGCTGAAAGCCCTCTAAGTGTTGTTATCAGAAATTGTTTGAATATGAAGCAAAGATATCTTTCGTCTCACTACAAACGTGGAACAGCGAAAAAAGATCTTCGTTGCTCTACCACTTCAATTCTCTACCCCTAGGTTCATGCGCCACTTGCTCTCCATAAAACTAGGATACGCAAGACGGAAAGTACTAAATATGGTAAACTTTGAGCTCGGTAAGGAAGTATGAGATGTGTTTTCGTCTTGTCACTTAAAATTGAAAATGATTTAGAACACAGTTTTTCTTAACAACTATTTCCCTTTTAGAGCGCTTTTCGATTGAGCGCGTAAAAAAACCAAAACCAAAACCAAAACAAAATGATCAAACAGAAGAAAAGAAAATACCCTAAAAGAACCAATGAGAACTCAAAGTAAATATAAGCAAACCAACTAAAGCGCGCGAAAACGCGGGCGATCAAGTCGTGATTGGGGTTAGTTTTGCATCTGATTGGTTGAGAAGATGGCGCACGTTTTCTGGACCAATCACAGGGCAAAGATAAGCAAGACTAGACCAATCCGGGATTAATCTCGACACTCAGTTGAAAATTACTCTGTAAACAAGTTTCATTTGATCATTATTAATGGTTATGCTTGAAAACTGGTCAAACCTGTTGGAGCAGGATTTCCGCTGCACCCACAATGAACTCGTCAGCCCCCATTGACTGACTAGTGGCTCCACTTTTCAGTAATGCCTGATGAAATACAGAAAAAATGATGTTCAAACAATAGCTTTGGTTTGGCTTACCACACTAACGTTTTTTTCAAGTGTCCTAGTTCTTTCGGGGTAGTTTTGGTTTTATCGATTGGGTTGATAATGTAAATTGGCCACCATAAAGAGTTTCAATGCTGACATTTCAAGCATCAGTCCCTCATCAGAGCAAAGGGCGTTGAGCGTTTTGCTTAAACCAAAGTAATTACGAACAGCAAATTTGAAAAAAAGGGTTGACGTCATCATTAGCCTATGGGAACTCAAAGTAAAAAGCAACGAGACCACTCAAAGCACAGACAAACGCACTTCACCAAGTTTGGTTTTATTTTGCAACTGATTAGCTGAAAGGTTGGCAAAATTTTACTAGACGAATGCTAAGCAAAATAAAGCTAAGCCAAAGTAACTTGGACCCCTTTTGATACTCGATTGAAGATTTGGTGACTAACCTCAGCCATTATTTTATTGAGTCGCTGAGAACTCAACATGGATCCAGTTTGAATGACGCTGCAATTTGAGACAATTAAATCATGAATCCTTCAACTCACAAGATCTGATTGTTAATACTCCCCCCTAAAAGGTTATGTAAAGCCTACTTAGAGCCATGTGGCCCATGTGGCCCATCGGGCTGGCACTTTCCATAGCATGAAGCGGCTAGGAGAAATTCTACCCCCCTCCCCCCTGGATGGGATGCAAGTCCATCGCTGGGTTACCCTCAGCATTAAATTCACCAGTACCCATTTAATTCTCCTGGGTGAAGAGAGGCACTGTGAGAGTAAAGTGTCTTGCCCAAGGACACAACACAATGCTCCCGGTCAGGGCTCGAACTCAGACCACTTGATTCAGAGTCGAGCGCACTAACTACAAGACCACTGTGCCTCCACTCCCCTCTACACTTCCATGTAAATAAGTTATGATAACTTGGTGTTAGATCAAGTTAACACCTTTTACCTGATAAGTTTGAGTAAATCTCATTACCTATTTGATGTATAATGTATGAATATCATAAAGAGAAGTTACATGTTCATCACTTCTGGGAGTGAAAGGGTTAATAAAACCTCACTAATATGTATCAAGATTGATACTGGATCCAGGAATATGAAAGAAGAGGAAGACCCTCGATAAAAAAAATATATATGAAAGGGCAAGGCTTTTGACTTCTGAAGGAGGGTGTAGCATCCATACACACCACTTTTTAATGACACACTCCACCTCCCAATTCCCCCATCATCTGGTGAGTGGGTAGGGGAAATGCTTCAACACAAAGTGGTTACACATGGTAAGTGTGGTACAGGCACAGTTTAGGTTTTGATATGGAAATGGATGAGAGCTGATCATAGCATTCTTGAACGCTCCAAATCTGGAATGAATACGACTGGGGCTATCCTTCTGTCAGCCTCCTTCACTCAAATAAGACTAATACTGACAGTGAATTTTAATGATCATCCACGTAGCTTTAATTCATAAAGATGTGTACTGGTGCCACCTTAGTACATTTCAAGGAAAAAAAGAGTTTTTGTTTAGCTTACCTGATGGGATCATCTGTTGTCTTCACTACTGCCTGATGTAATTCAGTTAACATAGCTTCACAGAGATTTTTATCTGCTTTACCTGCAAAAGAATATGAAAATTTTCAGTTTGAAAGTTCACCTGCTCAGGTAACAAGGTACATACATACATACATAGGTTAGTTGACCACTCCCCATGGGGGACTTTTTGGGGCCAATTCCCACCCATCCCACCCCAGGGGAGGACATCCACGACACAGTAATCTCGTGGTTGGGAAATTAACGTCTCCTACCCCTAACCCTGCAGGAGATGGGGCCTACGGTTTATATGTCCTTATCCGAGAAGACTAGAATATCTATCCATTTCTTGATTATAGAAGGTAGCAATTTCTCCTCACTTATCTTAAGACCATGAGTATTGGTCCGGCCAGGGCTCAAACCCTTGACCTCCCGCAGAACACAACCCAGCACTCTAACCAATTGAGCTAACCGGGAGGTGGTTAGCTCAATTGGTTAGAGCTCTGATGATGTAACAAGAAATAGGATGTTGGCTACTCTTAACCCATTTTACTCCCAAGGTCGGACTGTTAATTCTCCCGTCTATCTGTAACACATTTCCTTGTAAATTAGTTACAAGAATTTGGTGTCAGATCAAGATAAAACCTTTCACCTGATAAGTGCAAGCATTCTCATTACCTTTTTCCTGGATAATGTATGGATATTGTAGGAAAAAATTTAATTTATTTAGTTTNCTGGAACATCCTATTCTCAGAAAAAAAGATGTATAGAAATAGCATTTAGTCAGTGTTAAAAAAAAAACAAACAAAAAAAACATGAGAAACAACTAACTTTCTCAGAAACCAGGTCAGATCTTGGTACTGTAGAGCAAAGCTACAAGGGGAAAAGTTGGGGCTCAACACTAACTTTTCAACTTAACAACCACGAGGCTAGTGAAAACTTAGATGTTACAACAATTTCAGTTTGTTTACTAGCCAAACTGGCTAATAGAAATTGAAAACCACTAGTCAAAACTGAATTTCTACTAGTCTGTGGCTAGTTGGCTACCGTTAGCGGCAAGCCCTGAAAGTGTCGAAAAGCTAAAGACATTTTTCCTTACAGTATGTTCACTGATGGAATTACAGCTGTTACCTTGATATATAAATGTTGATAAAACTCCAAGTTTAAAAACTGGAAAGCGAATCACTTCATGGCTTAGGCACATGATTCGCTTTTGAAGAGGTTCAGATTCTGTACCAGTCAAGTCTCTGGAACAGAACGGTAGTATGCAATTCATTCGTTTGTTACTTTGGAGAATTTTGCATTGGATCAACTAATAATTCCCAAGTTGATATTTTTCCTTATTCTCATTACTTGTCTGCTTGATTTCGTAGTGATGTTGTTATGAGAAATTCTGTCTTGGCCACTTAGGCGAGTTAAAGGGTTATATTAGTGTGAGAGTCTTCTCTTGAGAATATGGACTTACTTCCCAAACAAAATCTCATTAAATAGCCTGGTGTGAGACTGTTACTTAACAGGTGAGACTTACCAGGTCTATGAAATTTCAAATAATATTATAGATTTAACCAAGCAAGCCTAAAAGCGGAGCTCCCAAGTTCGTAATATTAATGAAAACAAAAGATGTGCAAAAGCCAAGACTCACCTGAGACACCCCTCCCTTCATTTTGATAGTCTCCCCTACCCTACCCATGCAATCTGAAGGCACGTGCAGACGTATGTATGCTTGGTCAGTCACGTCACAACCAAACAAAAAGAGGTTGACCATATTCCATGGGCATGGGGCCCCACGTGCGCAAAGTGCACGTGGGAGCCCTGCTATCAATCATAATGAATTACTAGGATGATGGACAACTGGCATTCAGACAAATAATTATTAAAAATCAGCCAGCAGAATTAAGTAGTAATTTAATCTCCTTACTTGCATAACAGTGTCAATAAATCATTGTAAGTTTTGCCAGTAAGCCCTCGTAGGCCATTACTATCTGACAGAAACAAGAAACAATATTATAACATTTGTGAATAATTTTTTGTATGAAAATCGTTTATAATAAGTGAACTGCGGTTAAAGAAATGAGTATGAGAACAACCTTTGTAGTGATGAACACTACTTAAGCAGTAGTGAAAATAAGGCCTGAAAAAAATTCAGGCCAGTATGGGATTCAAACCCATGACCTCTGCAATACCAGTGACTCACCAATTCATGGGTTTATTATGGACCAACATAATGACCAGGCTCCGGTTGTTCAAAGGGCGGATAGCGCTATCCAACGGATAAATCGCTATCCAGCAGATAAGTGTTACCAAAACGTACTGCGATATCCACCGGATAGAGATTTATCCAGCGTATAGCGCTATCCATCCTTTGAACAACCGGGGCCTGATCCCAGTTGGCTTGTTAGCTCAGTTGGTAGAGCATTGCTCCAGTATCACAGAGGTCATGGCTTCGAGTCATGTACAGGTCTGAATTTTTTTCAGGCCTTATTTTCACTACTGCTTAATATGTAGTGTTCATTCCTGCAAAGATTGCTCCCATGCTCAGACAATATTATAATTAGCCTATTTCAATTTGTAATCTTAATAAGTCTATCTCATGATTAACATATTTTTGTGGACAGGCTAGAGAAAGAGAAAGAGAAAGTCTTAAGCACTCTAAACAACAAATGTGTCTAGTTACAACAATAAGGTTGAGATCGGATGTCAGCATTATCAGGCGCCTCTGGCAGCTGCTCCAGTCCATGTAACGATCTCACCTTCCCACCCAACTCACCCCAAGGGAGGACATCCACCACACAGTAATCTCCTACATGGGGAATTAATGTCTCCTACCCCTGACAGTGCTTGAAATTAGCAGTCGTCTGGTCATCCGAGACGAACAAAAAGTTTACCGGGCAACCAATTTTTAGTAAAATTAAGAGGCTGGTTGTCCGGGCAAAACCAACGGACAACCCAGCTAAAAATAGAAAATAAATTAACCATAAACAGCACCTGACCTACATGATGGTTTTGTTTTGTCAATGTCTGGTAGTGTGAGGTTTTAATAATAATTTGCCTCAGCTAAGCTTTTTCCTGTGTTTTGGATATCTGTAAATTTTATAAAACATTGCCAGGTACGAAAATGTAAACAACAAACACAAAGTTTCTTGTCTGGAGGTGATCAAGATCAAAGACGCCATTTTGAATATGCCACAACTTAAACTCAGACTTCCGTGAAAACCATTGCCGCACACTAACAACTATGGGATTAGTTCAAGCTTGACCGCCATGTGATTTTCTACCGGGCAACCAAGGATTCATGAAATAGGGACAACCTGGATTTTTTTTTAATTTCGAGCACTGCTACGGTTTATTTGTAATTATCCGAGAAGACTAGAATATCTATCCATTTCTTGATATAAAAGAAAGGTAGTAAATTCTCCTCAGTTATTTTAAGAACATGTGTATCGGTCCGGCCGGAGCCCGAACCCTCGACCTGCTGCACAACACAATCTGGTGCTCTAACCAATTGAGCTAACTGGGAGGCAGTTAGCTCTGGAGGAGCTTAACTCTTTACACCTTAAGACCAGTATCTGTATTCCTGATACTGTTCTCTAAACATTTCCCCAGGTATTTAAAAGGAGAGTTTGTTTAACAATCAAAGTTTATTGGGTGGGTGATCATCCCTATATTCTCATGATTTTAGTGAATGATTCAACAGTATTACTGTAAAGAGAAATTAGACGGATTAAATAAAATTAATACTTGTATAACACACTTTTCTGTCGTTTTAAGATGTTGTAGGCTGCAGCCAGGTTGACTTGGAAAGATGGTCTTGAGTGATGTGCCAGCAGGAGTTTCTGATGGGCTTTCACAAGTGCCGTGGTTGTGTTCGCATGGCTGTCAAAACTAAAGTCAACCATTCAAAACATAACAATAAACTCTTAACACCCTAACATCAGTATGCATATTCTCTATACTGTTCCCCATATATTTTCGAAGGTGCTCACAAGGAGAATTTGTTTAATAATCAGGAGGAGCTTTAGCTGTTGATTATTTACTTTATTCTTGTGACTCTAATATGTGATTCTGAAGTGATAATGTAAGGAGAATTTGGATTCTAGTCACTCCTTAAAGGGTTTAAGGAAACAATGAAATTTTCAATTTTTGTTGGTATCATACCGCTAACGGACCGAAATACTCACAACTCAGCCATAAAAGCGATTGGGTCGTCAGGCCTGTTTTCAATGATAAGAGTTATTGCCTCTTTTATTTCACTTGTAATACCACTGCGTGCTGCAAAAGAATTTTTATAATTTACGTTGATTAAAATTGTTCCTCAAGTTTAGCTCAATTCTTTTAATTTTGCCTAAATTACAAAAAAAAAAAAAGGAAAAATGGCCTTTGCTTCATCCTTAAACATATTATTAAGGCAACACTTACACATAAATTCCAAAGGACTCTCCGTTTTTTCTGGTTTAGAATCGCGATCATCAAACAAGTTTGTTTTGGAAGGCTTCTTATCCGCCATTTTGCTTTAACTATAATGTCGAGAGAGACTGGTAAATGTAAGGCTACGTTAAGTTACAGTTCGCTATACAATACATGCAGGCGAAAATAAGTGAACCCGAACGCCCTTACCGCTTTTTATGGAAACAGAGCATTTGTACTTGTGAAAGTAAGAATATTTCAGAGATGGACGCAGAAAATAATCTAGAAACTCCAGAGCAGGAGATTGAGCTTTTGGAAGATGATTTTGTAGAGGTGGTCGATTTAGATGGTGACGATGAGACAGAAGAAGGTACGACTATGATGTCGGTGAAGTTAAATGCTCGCACGTGTTTTTCCAGCTTGTTTGTACATGTATAAATTCCCAAATTTGCTGGAAGATCTAACATCTCCCTCTCTTTCCTGCTCCTTCAAACCAAGAATCTCACTTGAAATAGATTTTTGAACTCAAAACATCAACCGCATGATTGGCGAACGTTAAAACTCCTAAGGCCCCTGCACATTTGCTCGTAGCGTCCGGTATTGCATTAAAGTAACACCCTTAGCTGATAAGTTTGTATTTTCTCATTATCTTGTTTCTCTGCTGGACGATCTCCCTAATATTGTTAGGAGAGATCATTTGTTAATCACCTCCGGCACTGTAAGGTTACTCAAGGTGCTAGCTTTCTTGTTCATGTAAACAGCCTTCTTGTTTAACCAACCCCCTCCCCCCTTCCCTTCTTCCTCAGCTGGGTTATATTCAGATTATGTTAGCTGAATTGTCATTTTTGTATAACAATTTTCAGTTGAATGTTTTAGATTATTTTGAATGTCTAATAATTTTTTGCTGTTGTTTTTCTGGACCTGTGATAGTCTAGGAAGCTTGCACCAGCTCCTCGACCAATCACAAGCAAAAAAAAAAAACAGCTGTGATGTGATCAAGTAATTTTCCCAGCCCTTCAGGCAACTCACAAATTTTTACACTTAGTTCTTGTTAGTTCCTTGTTGTATTTTCCTTTATTCTGGTGGGCTGTTTTCAGATCAGTTTGATGTTTGGCCCTTTTTAGCCCGCATGCATTTTGTTTAATTCCCTTCCTACAGCAACTTGGAGTATTACTCTAATCAACTGACATTGTATTGAACTGGCTTCAAAATCTTCTTTTACAAAATGTTATTTCCAGTGGGACTTGCTGTTGGAATGGAAGATGTTGGTTTCACAGACGACATGAATGATCAAGATGGTGAAAATGTTGGCATGACTGAAAAGGACAATGCAGACTTGTGCTTTCAAAAGCATACAGGTGAATATTACAGTTTTTAAACTGCTAAGCAAATTGTTACAGCCATTATGTCTGGCTGTCAGTATGACAAAGTGGCTTCAATCATGTCTTGATATTGTCAAAAGAGGCTTTAATTGTAGTTTTTGCTTAAGGAGTTTTCAACTGACTTTTGGTAAATAAATACTTTTCATCCTTAGCCTCTGTCTTCTCCGTGGCAATTGAACCAGTTAATAGTTCAGTGGGAGTTTCTGGAGGGGAAGATGACAAGGCTTACATTTGGCAAATAACAGATGGACAGACACTTCTGGAGTGCCATGGTAAATAGAAAATCTTGTAATTCGATGGAACTAAACTTCATGGATTAATTGTTAATTTTTTTGTTAAATGTTAGTATAATTTTAGGCACCGTCAGACTTTCTTTCACAAAGTTACACCAGGTTAAAAAAAGCTTATTTCAATACTCCAATGTACAGCAAGTTACAAGTTGAAAACCATGAATAAAAGTCAACAAACATGAATGTCTGTAATATGAAAAAAATCATCAGAAGCCCTCTCATTGTGATTAATTTGCGTGCATGTGTGTGTTAGCCAGTTAAGTATAGCTTGGTATTATTTATGCCTGCAATGTTCCAACCGTATCTTGTTGCAGTTTGCATCCTGTATTCTGCGTTAAACCTTAAATAAGACTCAACATACCTGTGGCTTGATTCACATTGCTTGTTTGAGCAAAGACATGTAGAGTTATCAGTTCAGTGTGTAGTGGCAAATCCACAATTTATTTAAAAACTCCAAACAATCGAGATCGCTTGTACAATTTGATTATGCAGGAGCTTTAGGGAATCTGCAGTAAGTCAAGCTGATGAAAACTACAACAGAAAAAACGTGTTGACTCATTTTCTCCTCGTGTTTTTGCTCTGAGCCCGTTACACCTTATAGGAAAGGCCTCCTAACACTACAACAAGAAATCTTTTTAAAAAATGAAAATATTCAATAAAAGTAACAACACAGTGAAAGGGTAAGAAGCTGATTTCTTGCCAATGATTTCATGTTCTTAGAGAGCCCAGCATTGATTTAAATAGAGTTTTGTTACCCTAATTAATCATCATGTTGTTTCTTGAATTTATTTAGTGTGTGGTGTTATGATATTTTTTCCCAACTCTATCTTCCTTAGGTCATAAAGATTCTGTGACATGCACAGCTTTCAGTCATGATGGTAAATTTGTTGCCACAGGTGATATGAGTGGCTTTATTATTGTCTGGGATGTTGTTACGAAAAAGGAAGTTTGGAACTTTGAAGCAACAGACTTAGAGGTGAGATATAAAAGATGCCAGAGTATAAGTATGGTAGGTTTGAATTAATTTTACAACTCTTTGGCATATGGTTGTGGTGACCAAACTTTTTAGAACTAACTTTCAGTAGGCCACCTTTTTTTCAAATGAATAGAAAGTGATTAAAAAAATGATAGCGGTTAAACTAAAAAAAGTGTTGTTGTAAGCTAGTTAAAAGTTGGTTTGATGTTGAAGTTCAGTTTTATTTATGGCCGCCTTGAGAAAAGCTCAGTAAACTTGTCTGAACAGTGCACTCTCCCATCAACTTACATATCACTGTATACTGGCAATGGAACAATAGACAATAAAACTGTTTTCAAGTTTATTTTCATATTTGTGTTTTAATAGTAACAGCAAACCATCTTATTTTTTTTTCAAAACC